CGGATGTTCTGTCTCCACTTTGTAATAAATTACGGAAAGATTTCAGAACATCTTTGGACACCAAATTGCCTGAATAAATATTCATGGCGAAAGAACGCATGGGGCCATCTTGCGCCCGCAATACGTATGTTATGGGAAGCCGCTGAAAAAACATGGTGGCGAAGCTTCGCACTGATCGTAGCTGTAAAACGTTGTGGTAGATTTATAATAACAGGAAAATCGGTTTTATACTTCAAAAGCAGAGGAAAGGTAAAAAGGAAGTGACCAATTGGCGGGTGGCTTTGAATTTTATTTTAATTGATTTGGCTGAAAATCAAAGTATTGTTTGTGCAATTATCATGGCATGAAATACATGTAGTTAATTGCCCACTGGCAACCAGTTGTAAAATTCTAGTCGCCAGTGCAAAATTTTTCGTCGCATTGGTGACCAGGAAAGCGCAATTTCGGAACCTGACAGTGCAAAAACTGATTATGCCTGAGGTCGCTATACAACCTATCGTACAATGCATTTAAATGAAAATTACATGTGAATTCAAATTTTAAGACAAGTTGTGGTAAACTCCAGTACCTACATTGTACATATATTAAAGATCCTACAACAGAAAGTAACACACATACATGTACATGCAAATGAATCACCGACTTACGGTTGTTGACATGAATCCGATTTGGACGTTTTCCATAAGATGGTAAAGAATCAAGATCAGCACCTTCAAACATTGAAACAAAACAATCAAACATACATACATATAAATTATACACTTTATTTCCACTCGAATTATCAGAGTGGCTCTATTGAGCTAACATCTTTGAGAAAGGAAAAAAGTACATAAATCAATTAAATTATTAAAATACAATAATAAAAACTACATGTGCAAGTGAATTCTGCCTGCAGGGTACATATAAGTACAAGACTGCAAGACTTGAAGAGTGGTTTGGAGTGTATTTTGTAGATTGGGGTCAGTATTAAATATTCATTTCTTATGGCATATGTCCAATCTTTCATAAGTGACTGACATCAAAATAGGTGATCAACACAAATGAGGTGCAGAGAGTGATAGGGATATAGAATGGTACAATCCGAGACCCACCGAGACCGAAACTGCACCATTATTTTCAAATCTGAGCCCGAGATGCTGCAATACAAAGATCCGAGCTTGGGACACCATGATCAAGAAACCCGAATCCAAAACTTTTACAGTTCTCTGTGCCTCACACTAGAAATAGCTATAAATAAATGGATAACATACTCTAATCTAAGGTAAGGTGAATAATAGCCAATGATCAATCACATCGCACCGAACAAAAATATACTAAACCCCATTAAGGGGGGGAGGGTCTGAGTATTCCATTTCTTGTTAGTTTTTGGCCTGACTATTCACAATTTTCCTCCTAGATATCTCGTTTGATCTGGTTATAATACCTCATATCCCATCTATTCCCCCCCTGCCCAACTATCCCATATGTCACCGAAATATCCCATATCCTGAAAACATAACAGTGCCTCACATTCTCTCTGAAGGCAGAACTCAAAAGCCTGTACCGAGCATAATTATATTTGAGCATAATTTCGTACCTGAAACAAATCAGTACTGAGCAGCATAATATGAGATTTTTACGAGCACTGCTGGCAGACACTACTGCAATTTACGAGGCTAGCATATTTTAACGAGGCCTACATGTTCCAAAATAGCGATTGCCATGTTGAATCATGTTGTTTTGCTGTTGTTGTGTATGATGATTTATTGAGATTAAACTTTCACTCAGCTTGCAAGACTCCAAGACTCAAATTTCAAAAAGTGAGATTCCAAGACCCACTATACTTTTTACGAGCTCGAGATTCCAAGTAGGCTTGATTACCAGCTGCTGTTTGGGAAAGGAGCCCGTGCTCCTCCCCTGAAGGCACAGCTGGACTCATGAGGATTCTTTTTTTAGTCTTTAACCAATCAGATAACCAACTGCAGATTTTTGTTGGGCATAAATTATCTCGTCAGTTTGATGGCGGCCCTGGATGGCAGACGATGTGGAATTGATAAATGACACGCAAGAGAACTTAAAGACTTTTAAGATCGAAAGTTTGAAAATTCACAACGAGAAACGCTAGAAAGGTTGGTCAATGGCCAAGATGTGTTCCACATTCAGCCAAGAGGATCGGAAAAATTTGAATCTTGAGTTCCCGAACATCAGATATAAAGCCAACAATCAACAATTTTTATTTCTTAATTTGCACTCTACAGTTGGACTGGCCCGCTGATAGCTAGTGTCAGTCTAGGCGGGCCAGTCTATCAATAGTTACAAATGTTTTTTTTTTTTTTTAAATAAAAGGAGGGATAAACTTAAACACTGAGCTCAAGAGACAAAATAGTCAGTCAAATAGATGTATAACCTTCTTTAAGGTCATTCCCCAGTATTGCATTGTGCATCCCTACTGCGCATAATTTCACGCGTGATTAGCGCTCGCGCATTAAAAAATGGCGGCTTTTTCTTTACAGCTGGACCTTGCCATAGAGGTACATGTAAATCGTCATTTTCTGATAAACGAGTATGGTGACCTATCATTTTTTTCTGTTGCTTTGAATTGAGTAATAAATTTCTTTGTGTAAAATAAATATGGACATCTGTCAGCTCCTTTGTTGTCAAGTAAAACACACTTGGCTAAGACATGGCAAGAATTCATCCCCGTTGAATATGTGATAAGGCATCCTTCGCTTCCTCGACCGGTATTGTTCCCCATACTCGCGGTTAATATTGTCATGTAGTTAACTAACAGCTCCAGTTTGAGTGAATTCACAGCTGCTCAATACGATTTACATGATAACAGTAGAGTCCAGTAACTGACACTCGTTTGGGTAAATATGAGTGAAGGTGAGTGCTTGCGAAAGCGAATACTTCTCCCATGCAGTCCACACTGAACACGAGCCGAGCCTGGATGAGTTAATGGCTTGCGTAAGCAAAACAAATGTTGTATCGCCGAAGAAATTTTCTCACGAAGATCTAAGTGAAATAACAAATAGTACACAGTTCTCGAGGGCAGTGCGGGAAGAAAGATAATGTATAACAAAAACGAGGCAAAGCAATTTAGAAATGAAAAAAAACTTACCTTGAAAACTGCAACCAACTCGAGAAGGTAAGCTGGGCAAATATATTACATGTACTCAAAACGGTGATGGACAAAACACTGACCGCCAGTCCATGGACTACCCAAATGGACTACTCTAAAACGGACTTACCTTCAAAATAATATTCCAAATAAGTACTATTTAATGTTCTTAGCTGCTAGTGTACTTAAATTACACATAGCTTCCGCTTATGATCATCCTGTACAGCCTCTAACCACCATTTTGAATAATTATACTTTAAATAAACAACTGCTGAACACAAAATGGTGCGAAAAGCGTAAACACAAACCAAATTTCATCATTTAATTGTCAATGGCTGTTATCAATCAGAGGTACCAATCAGTATTAGGATCATACAAGTGTAAATATAATAACTTGAAAAGCGATTGAGATGTGAGTGAAGAACCCAGTCTAATATTTGATTTAGAAATGGCACATTACTAAATGTAAATGTCACACGATGATTTTCAGTTTTATTCCATGCGATTCAGTCAGCCACTACATATGCACAAGCTAAAAGATTACATGATAGGAGATGGCAAGAATAATAGCTGAATAGTAAACCTTCCAGGAACGATGACAAATTAACAAGGTAGTCAGAACATTCAGTTCCTTTTCATCTATTAATAGTCCTTAATTGTTCCCAATTCAGGCAATTCAGGCAAACAGCCTGAATCTGAATGTTTACAATGCATTTGAGAAAAACACTGGTTGCTGGCGTTATTATAATTATCATATTATGCTGGCGTTATTATATTATTTTTAGGGTTAGTCCATTTTATGGTAGTCCATTTGGGTAGTCCATGGACTGGGAGTCAGTGTTTTGTCCATCACCACTCAAAACAGCTATGGCCGCCGTATCGAACGCTCACGTCATATAAGCCTACTCAGTTCCTTCCAGAAGACCTCGCGATTCGTGACACGTAGACAAATAAATTGCGCTGACGGTTGCATAGTGGAGGCTGAAGCCCCCACAACAATTAATAGTACGTCGCATTATACTGACGCTTACACTCTGAGCTTGTGGTATTAAGGAAATGAAACTGCATGTGTAATCATGCAGGGTCAACTTTGACTCAGCCTAAAGCCGTGGCCGAACGGCGCATTATAGTCGATGATAGTTGATTCTCCTCTAAATATCATCGACTACCATTCATTTGGCCAAACGACCAGAAAAAGGGCGTGATAGTTGACGATAGTTCACCGGCAGTGACGCAGGCAATGTCCAGCGAGCATCTTGTGCCAGGTTTCTTCCGTGTGAAAATATCAGATAGCATCGCTTGAGGCAGGCTTTAAAAAAAAAAAGTTTCTCTTGACAAAACAGGGCGGCAGCTTGTTTAATTTTGATCGATCTGCTGGAGGAATGCACAGAAGAGGTCTGGAGTGCCTTGGTGGAAGAGGGGACGGACAAGAGAATGGACATGATGTAGAGACAAAAGCGGGATGTGTACGTCTCGCGAGGCTCGCGGAGAACTTGTTTGTTTCCACCTTGATATTTAGGTTAACTGAGCAGTTTGAAATTGTTTGTTTGCCCGAGAAACTATTAACTCGCCGCGATCCGAGAAAAGTTTTGATGTGTCACTTTGTCAGATTTTTGAATGAATATTTTCGCGCAGTTTATCGCGCTTTTCACAAAAGTCTCAATGTTATAAAAGAAATGGTAAGTGTGCAACTATGGAGTTATATATGCACTTGGGAGGTTTCCTAAGCACTCAAGAGGCTAGAGTCGCACTCGGCTATCGTCTCGTGCGACTCTTACGCTTCTTTTGTGCTTAGCAACCTCCCGCGTGCATCCATAACTCGATAGTTGAACGCTGCACGCTTACCATTTCTTAATTCCTGAGAAATCAAATGATTATGCTGAGGAAAATTGGGTGATAATGATGGGACATTTCTGTATAGATCTATATTGTAAATCAGTGTGAGTCATCCCTGTACCTCAGACATTAAAGTACAAAAGTAATAGCCAGTAACTGTGGTCATTTTGCAAATGTTGATCATTATAGATACTAATTTAGCCTTGGCAGGGTAAAATCATTATTAATCATGAGCAAAGCTTAGTCCTTGAATTTTTTTTTTTGTCTTTGCAAAGTCCTTGAATTTTGTCTGTGTGAAGTTGTACGAACCAGTAAATAATTGTATCTTATGCACCAGCTTGAGGAGACAAAATAAAACATACATGTAAAGAAACTGATCAAAATCAAGACCTAATTACAAGCATTTATATTTGATTGATTAGTATGCGTAATCAAATGGTGACGAGTGAAATTAGGAAATAATTTCACGCACGTTTTGTCAAAATTCTGGCAACCATTTTACGCTCACAACCGTAACTTTTTTATTGGTTTCTTCTATCGCCAGAAAACCGAGAACATTAAGAAGAATATAGTTTCAGTTTAAAGCACACATTATTGCTAAAGTTCGTAATTTTCTGAGTTTCTTCTCAAAAAAGACCTTTCGAGTTCTTCGTGCTTGTTCATAATNCGCCTTCCCGACGCGAAAAATCTTAGACGCCCTCGTATGACCTAACAAATAGCACCGGACTGGGCATGCGCACGAGTTGCAGCTTTTTAGAGTTCTCCCAAACTTTCGTCAGCGACTCAATAGAAACACGGAAAAAATGTCTTATCTCGTTCAGAAAAATCTCTCGTTTATGTCGCTTATCAAAGTGTCAATTTTCTTCGCTTTCGCCATCATTAGATCTATTTCATTGTCACCGACTATCAGCCTACTTAACAGGGGTAAACTGGAGGACAGGGGGACAGGGAAAGTAAGAGCGGGGATTGAAGCAGGGAGGAGCATTGGAAGACAATAGGAATGCGTTTGCAACGCAGGCTACCCACTATGGGACAGCGGAGCACGGTAGCACTTCGTTCTGCACGGTCAGACTAATGCGGACCACGGACCGGAAATTTCAGATTAATGAACCTTCCATACTGCCGGGTATTCTGAGATTGCTCCCAGGAAGGTTTCTCAAGTGAATTGGTGGTAATAAAACAACAACGGCTTCATTTGACTAAGAAGTACAGAGTAAACACAACAGCAAACAATTAAAGAAGGCTTATCCGTCTTTGGCACGTTATATGTACAATAAATTCAATTTTAAAAGTCTCTTGCAAGGAACGAAAGACAACGTGAACAATCGGATTCTGATCGGATTACGCTCGGTATTTGTTCCGACCATTCTGATTGCTTAGTACGAATCGGATCGGACTGAGGATTATCTGTCGAGTGCTGTCGGAGATTGTTCGCTCCCAGGCGACAGTTCACCAAATCCCAAAGCACTTCAGCTTGGTTTGGCAACTTTCCGCGCCCGTTTAGCCGGTCGAAGGAAAGGATTGTCGAATGAGTCCGTGCCTTGTGAGCTGGTAGGTAACACGCCATTTGGGAGTAACTCTTTATTAAGTGGTGCATCCTGTTCTTGAAGCTCTGTTTCGTCAAAGTCACCCACAGCGGGCAAGTATGGCAAGTCGTTCAATTCGTTCACCAGTACTGCAGCGAAGAAAATACACACGTACAGATTAACACAGACCTTTCGCGCAATAGATCCAGATGTAGTGCTTGTGTTACATGTAGGTTAGCGAAGCTTCGTCACGGTTTGTTCCTCCCGAAAAGTTCAGTTAGCCTAAATTGTTCAAGTTCGTCGTTTGTAATCCGTGTTAATCTTCTCCATCCTTAACCATCCTTGTTCCTTTAGGGTTTATTATCATCCCTTTGGTGGTTTTCTGTCTTAGTAAACTATTATTTTTGGGTTTCGTTCAAAAGACCTTTCCCGCATTCCAACAAACAATGGCGCCAAGTCGAGATCAGGGTGGACAAAAATACAACAAATGTATGAAAATGTCCACCCCAACCTCGCTGTGGTACTACTGTTCGTACGCACTGAAGTGGAATGCGGGAAAGGTCTACTGAGCTCCTTTAAGAACACGATTGGGTAGGTTGCCCCACGGGTAGGTGGGGTAGGGTGTGGGGTAGGGGTGGGGTGGGGAAGGGTTTGTATTTTATAGTGTATTAATCTTGATCTACAGCCTGTATTAACAAACAGATTAGACTTGGCCTTGCTTTGCGCGCGTCTCACAGACCAAAAAAAAAAAAAGCGAACAAACGGTATAGAGCGATAAAATTGTCTTACAGACTATTACTGTAAAAAGAAGGAGAAATTAGCCTTTATACCAGAAGAAAGAAAAAATAACCAATTGTACACAACATACCACATTTACATGTTTTGAAGAACAGTATCTCAAAGAAAGAACGCCTAAGAAGCTGAATCAATTAGTATTTAAGTGGAGTAAAAATATCATGTTCAAGAATGTTTCTCGGCCTTGGAAAAAACATTCAAAGCGACAAAAACCTTTCTCGCTGTGTTCCCACGTGCTCGAATATTTTGTGTTACATGTATATTGTACCCACAGTATTATGTACCTTGTACTCAGCAAAGGGGAAAAACTGGGTAAGACCGGCGGAAAGACAAAAAAGGCCTCAATTTTGGTCTTAAGCCCTGGTCAAACGGCGCATGATAGTCAATGATAGTTGATTCTCTCCTAACTGTCATCAACTATAACCAACTATCATTCACATAGTCAAACGGTCAAAGAAGTTCGTGACAGTTGACGATAGTTCACCGGCAGTCGCGCGAGCAAAGTCACTCCAGCAGCTAGTTGCAGGCTCTTTCCGCGTAAAAATGTGAACACTAAATGGCGTCGCGTGAGACAAACTTGTAAAAGTATTAATTTTTCGCGACGAAAGAGGGCGGCTGCTTGTTTACTGGTAATCGATTTGTTGGAGGAATGTACGGAAGATAAATCTGGAGAGCGTTGGTGGAAGAGAGGACGGACAAGGGAATGGATCAAAAGGAGACACGAAAGCGGGCTGTTAAAATTGATGGAAGAATTGCGAGTGGAGGACACTGCCGCTTACAACGAAATGTTCCGCATGAACTGTGAAACATTTGAGGAAATACTGACCGCTATCGGGCCTGTGATTACCAAAACAGCTGACCGAAAAACTATCACGAACCATCATACGCGCGGTCAAACGAGAAAAACTATCATCGACTATCATGAAAAATTTGAACAAGCTCAGAATGATTGATAGTTGATGACAGTCGATGATAGTGCATGACAGTTGGTGGTCAAACGGAAGCGCGCGCTTCAACTATCATCGACTATCCGTTTGACCAGGGCTTTACAGTTGATTCTGATGAGCTGAATTTTGCGTTGGCAGAAAGTGAGTTATCTGATTACACTTACATGGAAACGATGGCGCGTCTAAACCTTCACAGATTCCAGAACTGAGTTCAGCTGTCTTGGCTAAAAACCTGTGAACAAGGAAGCACTGTACATTACTGGTGAAAGAGTACAATATTCTATGCTATATGCTATTATATGCTAACATTGTTAAGTCCTGATGGAAATACCGTGTCTAAATAAAGATTTTACCTTACGTTTACCTTACCTTTAAGAGACATGGCTCAGGGTGTGGTGCGAGGGGAGGGGGGGGGGGCGGTGGAGCGATTAGTGCAGGAAATGTGCACAAACATGGGGACTTAATGCAAATACATGTTGACCGTAAGAGAGAGCGAAAAAAAAATCTTAACTGACCAACTGTTTCACGGCAGGGAAATAACCTTTGCAGCATTCTGCACTGCGGGGGAGATATTTCCTCGTGGAAAGCATAATCAATAACCTGGTATTTTGTCAACCTCTGCCCACCTACCCCACAACTAATCCTCAATACATGTGTATCTTAATGTACTAGATGGGGGGAAGGGGGCCTACATGTAAATATACTAGATGGGGGCCTTAATGTATTAGGTTGGGGCCTAAATGTACAAGATGGGGGGAGGGTGCCTAAATGGACTAGACTGGGGGCCTAAATCTACTAGATGGGGGCTTAAACGTACTACATGGGGGGAAGGGGCCTAAATGTACTAAATAGAAGGGGAAAGGGCGGTGTTGCCTTAAGCAACAATCCCACCCACTCCCATCCACCCCCTCCCCCCCGCCCCACACCTGCCCCTGAAAGAGAAGGTACTGTAGGAAGTGTGTTGTGGAAAGTGTGTTGTCCCAAAACAGCAAAATCGTAACTGAATTTAACCACACTTTTTGAGCAGAGAAGATTACATGTACTGTGACCAATGAGGTTACTTTTTGTCCTATTAATTTGCCCTTTACCAACATTCTATCACCACAAAAGCACAGTTCATTGACTTCTCTCTACTTTTCAAACACACTGTATATCTGTGCTGTAAATATACACATACAGCCGTATACATACCATACATGTAAAAAAGTGATATTTTTTTTCCTGGCTGTTAAAATCTTCAACATGATAAACATGTACTTACTTAGATAAACCTTCTTCTATCTCTTTTCTCTGGGCAGCGTACTTCTCTCTTACTGCTTGATATTCTTTGCTTGACTGTCTGAAAGCCTGTAATCAGATACACGCCGCTGATTTAGAGAACACAAAACAGAAGAAAAAATACTTGCATACATCTATCTTCAATTGTAGCAGAACAGGAAAGTTTTGCATTTCATCGCAATGGAAAGCAAAATCACACTCACCCTGATATCTGAAAATAACTTGTACACAAAGTAATGTTTTAATTACTGATGCTGCTTAGATGATGTATTACGTGACATTCTGCTTTGGAAATCTGCAGAGTCTAACTCAATACCTAAGCTTACGTAACTCAAAATAAAAGATAAAAAAAGCCAGAAATAATAATCACAGTAGAACCCTGGTAACGAAAAACAGTTCGAGTTAGCGGGGGTTCGAGTTATCTGGGTCGATTGAACATCCAACTTGCCATGTTAATAATTGATAGTTTACTGATTTTTCAGCACTTCAGTATACAGTGACAGCTGCGTCTGCGAGCCCGAGCCAGAAAACGATTTTTGTGACGTAGGAATTNTTGTGTTTCACCAATATAGGGGACTCTTTAAGAATAAGACTCGTACCAGGCCCCCGACATGCAAAATAACACCTTGCAGCTTCGAATGTTTACAAAATCGAAGGTGACAAAGGTTTTTTAGGCTTTTTCCAAGATAAATCATCTTTAAAATGGCGTATTTATGCAGGAATTCCTAAGAAACTTGTTGATTTATGTTTTATTTTATGAATATTGTGCATTCTTTTGCGAATTATGCAATTTTTCGTGAATTGTGTGATCGGATGTGATTTGAGGTCGATTGTACAAAATCGCACCATCGCATAATATCAGAAGGCCTGAAAATTTCACAAAAATCTCAGTGCAGGTTCTATTTCAGTGGAATGATTTTAAGTTGGGATGGCGATTTCAGTTTCTGGCGAAACCCGGCAAAAGTAAATTTTTAAATGAGCTAAAGCACGGGTAAAGGAAACCTAACTAGCAAAACTTACATGGCAAATTACAGGGTATCAACTTAACAGCCGAAACCATGCAGACCAACATGTCACCTTTGACATGCATGAGTAGTTTGCTACACCACAGGCGAGTGGCACAGTCTGCTTCCTTAGAACACAGTATCTGTGGATATTGTGCCCTTCCGCAGCAGTAATGTGAAACAAAATAGGTTGGAAGAATTGAACAAAATCTTTAAAAAGAGAACGGAAAATGTACAAATGTTTTGAGCTGTAGGTGTCATGTGGACCTGTTCAGATTATAATCGTATGATATTTCCGCACCCCATGAATTAAATTATGAGTATAAGTCACAGACACGCTTTGCCGCTCACGCATCCAGCTGTTCTTCTCAGGGAGGAACAAAGACTAGAAACGAGAGAGCAGCAGAAATCAAGCCTAGATTCCCAGACTCTAGTTTGAGACATCAAGATTTCAAGACTTACCAAAAACTTGCCGAGACCTATCATTTTTCAAAGACCATTCTATACCTCTAAAAAATGTAAGTGATGTGATAAGCTACACTTGTACATGCAAGAGAACAGTTGTACAAGTACATACCCATGTCAATCAGAGCAACTTTAACATCACTAAGTGTTGGTTTTACACGAGCTGAGAGCTCACAACTAAGTTTGCAGCTGTGTCCAAGTTCTGACAAGTCTAAAGTAGAATAGAAACAAAACAAATACATACTTATAAACATGCACCCAAAACAAGTTGGAAGAAAGGTAGAACATGGTATTACATGTACCTGACGTATTCAATCAAGCATTCAGTAAATTATCAAACTCAATTGAACTCCAATTGTCTAATTAATTTCGTCAATTGATTATTTATTTGGTTTTGTTTGATTGGCTAATGCAAGGCATGTAACAGTGTCTGGTCTAGTCTGTTTGAATACCATTGAAGTGGTGAAGGAATTTCTCCCTTTTATGAAGGGTAAGCTTATGTCAAAGTTTTAATTTGAAATTTCAGTTTGACATCTTCCTTCTTTGAATCGATTACCACGATCTGAAAAAAATGAAATAAAAATCTAACTCATTTGAAAAGTCTACGGCCAAAAACTAATTGGATTAAATCAAAACTCACGGGGTAAACAACTGATTGAGAAAATCTTTGCGTCTGCAATTGTCTATAATATAAGCTTGAATGTTACGTACCTGAATTGAACTTCTACGTGTAAACTCGAGTGAAAATATTAATTTTATGACAGATCGAAATACAGAATCAACCTGAGAAATCGTCCATTCCTGGTGAACTTATAGCTCACTTGCTTGATCGGTCAATTGAGTTCACAAGAAAATCGTGTATTCAAAACAAATGTATACCGTATAAGCTCAACGAAATGTACAAACGAAATCCTAGACAGCATCGTGAACATATATACAAATGCTTATCTTCAGTACCCAAGTCAGAAAAAACTGATTACTCACAACTTTGCAGCATTTCGGTGAGGGTCTCCAACGCTATCTTGGAAGCTGATGCAAATCCTTGTTCACGCAGTATAGCGCAGATAGCGATCTCCAAAAGACGCCGGTTGACAGCGTTTATGTCCGCCATCTTGAATCGCCTGAACAGTTTCCCAGAGTAACTTGCGTGTTTCAAACATGGTAGTATTTAACAATTAGACCCGTAGCCCTTGCGGGCTACGGGTCAATAGCCCATTGACTGATTTCAAGCCGAAAAGGACTAGGTATGAGTCTGTAAATTATGGGATTAGCAGCTATTGATCCACATAGTCAGAAAAAGCACACCGAGATTCACTACATCATCAAGTTTAGTGTTAATCAGGCTACTTTTGACTGAGATACAGCCATTTAAAAACGCCAAAATTACACAAAAATATTTGGTCATCCGGACACAGCGTCCGGATGGCCATACATTTTTTTGTAAATTTTTATGTTTTCAAATGGTTGTATCTTGCTTACTATTGGGTCTGTTTGCACTTGGGGATTTTGTAGAACTTGATGCTGACCTGCCAACTCTCCCGGTTTTCCCGGGAGTGTCCAAGGTTTTCATCAAATCTCCCGGTCTCCCGGTTAGGGCACCAAATCTCCCGGGAACTACCTACTGTGACTCTTTTTATTTTATTTTATTTATTTATTTTTTCATTAATTTCGTTATTTTTGAGTAGGGCTTTCCACAAGTTGCTCGGCAACTTTTTGGCAACTTTTCATATTTTGAGCAACTTTTTTCGTTTCGAGCAACTTTTTGCCTTTTCTGAGCAATTTCCTGAGTATTCTACCAATTCTGAGAAATCGGACAGCTTTTAGTGCATAAATTGGCCTTGCTTCCATATTTCACGATGTTTTATGAGACAATTTATGAATTTCCTGTGAAAAAGATGCCCCACTGGAGCAGATCATGGGTGCAAGATGCGTGCAGCCGGGCTGCTAGGTCAGACCACGGGAACATCAACGGATTGAGGTAAACTTAGGTCATTAACTCGAAGGTTATTGGTCCCAATACCTGGGAATATAGCCCATGTACCTCGAGTTTGTTGATAAGCAATGGTCCAGCATTTCCTTCCATCGAGACCACATGTTTAATTTCCCCCTACCTTCCTGCTGCATTTTTCCACCAGAAATTATAATACGGCAGCTGCAGGCCGAGAGCTAAAAAAAGAGTAAATCCAAAGCGGGAAACAAAATTTGCGTCATGTAAAGGAGAACAAAGGGCGCTTTCCATTCAGCAAAAATCACCGGTTCCAATTTTCGGAATTTTCGCTGGTCGAATGGAACGCATCCGACCGCTTCCCAGAATTCGAGGTCACGTGCTCAGCAACACAAAGCATGCTGGGTGAAACTTTGTTGTGTTTGAAAATGGCGGTCTTTTTGAACATTTTCGCGCTTTAGAGCAGGATGACTGTGAAACAATAAGTTGTACCATTTCCCGGGGGGGGAGTACTTTGGGAATTTCTGGGTGGGGATGTGCCGCTGGGTCCCTGGAACCCTTAACCTATATCAGAGCTAGTTCAGCTGAATTTTGCTACCCTATACTAGTGTAAATTCCCCAAATCCCCCCATCTATCGACACTATTGCGGTTGATTTGCGTAAATTTAAACTTGCCGATTTGATTTTTTTATATTGTTGAGTGGCAATTCCTGGTTTCCTTAGTCTAGATAAAATCTTCAACCAATTAGTCAGTTTTGGGGAAAATGATAGCCTATTCTAGACCCAAACGCTCTGATTTATATACCCTATCCTAGAGTCAACTGCTTGAAAACCATACCCTTCACAGCGGCACATACCTATATAGCCCATATATGGCAGTGCCCTCCCTCCCCTCCCCCGGGTGCAGCGCGCGCAAGTTTTGACAGATCAGTTATTTGTATCAGTATAAACACTGTGCGACTGTACCAAGGTTAAGTAACTTGACCTTAGTAACTGTTTACCTTGGTAAAAGCACAAATGTAAACACAACATAAGTGTTTATATGAGGCTATGTAAACAGGGAAAAACTGCTCTATTGGTTAAATTGTAGTAAATAAAATAACTAGGGCTCTTAACAGAAATATTAGCAGACAAGTAATTATCCGCAACGAAAAGTTATCGTTATCAAAAAAGCCAGTTTGTGAAGCGAGTTATCAACAACAACATGTAAAAAAAAAACTTATCAACAACACAGACGTTTTACGATTCGAAAGGAAAGCTACTTTAGTTGTCGATAACAGACAGTTGGTGACAGCTACGTTTTTCTTAGTCTGTCGCACAGGGTGAGGCTTATTTTCACTCGGAATCCACACAAAGCAGGTATTAGTTGATAAGCCGAGGTAAGATG